AATACTTGCTTAATGAGCTGATTAACAACTGTTACTGAGAATTAATGGATCAAATCACAGTGGCAATCACCATATTGCAAGTCACTGTGTTGTATTAAGTTATGATGGGGCCATACATTTTACGGTGATGACTCTTACAATGAAGGTATTTGAACAGATTGTGTCATGGGTCTCATTGAAGGAACTCCAAAACTGTTTTGAACATAGGAAAGCCTTTTGGAATCCCCTAACAGTAAGCACGAACAGAATCTACTAGCAGAACATTAGGCCATTAAACACATTGAACATTTTATTTTAAATAATTATGCAGAGTGCTTTTGAAATCTGTGTTAACTTTATATACTTATAATCCAAAGACAATGGCAGCGTTTCCATCTGATTAGGCATCTGCCTTCACATGGCTCGAAGCAGACTGGTAGATAAATGTAAATGGCTGCTACAGGGGGATCTTGGTTTGGTCAATTTGCTACCTTGCAAGATAGTTTTCGGTTTGCAATATTTTTTTTTTAAATCGATTTTTTGCACTTAAGTAGTTTTCAAAATATTAATCTTTTAAAAACATGTCTATTAGTGTATTTCCATTATTCATAATAGTGGGGCTCATTTTGTCACATTCATAAATGCATATAACATAGTTTGCTCCATTTCAGTTCCCGGTATCTGAATCTTGAGTTTTGCATTCTGTTAGAGAATGCTTTAATAATGAGATGCTTTCTCAATAAAGCTGTTGTAAAATAATGAAAAGATGATTGATTCCATTATATAAGCAGCAAGTAATGTGTTATCATGGGCTAATATTGAAATTATAGGTATAACTAGTTGATTGTATGATTTTCTAAATATTTAGTTAAAAATATGGAACTACTCATTAGCCTTACATAAATTATAACATCCCCTTTTGCAACACAGACTCATGGTTTAAACATTGAAGAAAATAATTCAAAATGACTTATCGCTATCAGATGTGGGAAAATGTCTGATTAAATTAAAATATGTTTTCTTAATTAATGTACTCAAACCAGGTATGCAGGTTAAGTAGAGTTATACAAGGGAAGTTTATCAAATTCAGAACATTTTAAACAAATTTAATACTCACAATTTATTTTAATAGACAAATAAGATTATGCAATAAATATTGCACAGAAGGCTGGAATTTATTGGGAAAGGCCCACAAATAAAAGTTTTTCAAGTAAAGACCAATCAATTTCAGCTGACTAAAAGACTTATTGATACAGGTTTTTATTTACTATGTGTTTCTATATACATTACTTCTAACATTATTTCTTTTCCTTATTAGTTTGATTTAATTCACTGTGTACATGTGCCAAGATTTTTCCAACTTCACCCCAGTGCAAACCACTTTCAATCAAATTAACTTAGTCACTATCTTCTAAACACACCATGGAAATCCCACCCAGGGAGCAGAGTATAAAATATGAGTGCAGGCTGCAGGGCCACATACCTAGGTTCAAATGCCAGTTCCACTGCTTACTAGCTGTGTGACCCAGGATAATTTATTGAATTTCTCTATGCCCCTGCTTCTTCACGGATAAAGACCTAGACTCTCCCAACGGGATTTCTGCAGAAAAAATGAGTCAATACCGATTTACTGCTTGGACACACCTAGTACCAAATAAACATTCAATATGCGTTAGCTATGCCAAAAGGAAGGAGAAGCTCACGTAGGGCAGTCATAAGCCCATTGCCTTACTTCTAATTCTCACAAGAATCTTGTAATAAAGGGAGTACACCTTTTTATTAATACAGGAACTAAGTTTCAGGAAGAATAGTAATTTGTTTGTTCAGAGTTGCTCACTTGTATGGGTTCTAAGGGTGTGATTATGGAGTCAAACCCAGGTTTTTCCAGAACTCCTCTGTTGTCTCTGGCTGTGTGTCAGCATCCTCTAGAGAGCTTGGCAAGGCACCAACACCAACTTCCTGCCTCAGCTCCAACAAGTAAAGAATGTGGCTACCATCCCTTCTGTCCTTACAATAGAAAAAGCTGAACAAACCAAAAGTCAATGATTTTCTTGGACCCATAAGAGACCCGAGGTTATAAAGTAAATCACCGTCCTGAAATCTAGAGAGAGAGGTAAATCCAGTGAGTTATAACTCAGGTATTCTTACCTGGTGCAGAATCTGCTGCCTACAGAGAATTTTGGATGAACTGCTGAGGCCTGGGTGTAGGCCATTGTGAGAGTGAGAAGCCCCGGAGCCTGTCATCTGTGGGGCACAGGTGTGTGGAGTCACCTCCAGGAGCCTCTCCAGATTCCCCAGGTGAAGAGCAGAGGAAGTTTGCCTCCTGGTTCCCGCAAGGTGGAGGGAAGAGTCATGGCAGAGAAGTGCAGCTGCTTTCTCCAGAACAAAGACCTCTGGGAGGATTTTTGTCAGAGCCTCTCCCAGCTGGAGGGAGGGCATTTCTTTCCAGCAAGCCCCTTCTTGCCTCCTCCTCCTTTCTCAAGGGCAAAACACCAGTGAGGGTCACAGTCCCAGGAACACTCCCATTAAGTGACTGATATTTATTCAGAAGACCTCAGCACCCACCACCTCGAGGGGCTGCGGTGCAGCAGAAGGGATTTCCCATGAAAGAACTGCTAAGGGCAGCCCCTCTCCAAGGAGAAGGCAAGATGGCACAGAATCCACAGGGAAGACCAAGAGGACTGCACCACTTCGAGGCCTTGGCGCCTACAGCTCCAGCAAATGCTGAACACAGCCCCCCCTGGCCAGTCCACAGGAGACCTTGACGGAGGCCCATTACCTCAGGATCTACGGCTCCATACATAATGTCTGGTTGTTCACAGAATTTACAGGGATAACCAGGGAAAAACAGACGGCCTGAAGAGATTAAACAGACATTCCAGTCAAACTCAAAATGACACAGATGTTCAGATTATCAGACAGAAAATTTAAAATCATTTAAAATTAAAATGATAAATAATGGAGGGGCTCTCATGGGAAAAAGTAGGCAGGGTTGGAGGAGAAGTGAAGGGTGGAAACTCTAAGAACCAAAATGAAGTGCTAGGAAAAGGAAAAGAACCTGCAGAAATGAAGAATTCATTTTAACAGGGACATGCATAACCTGGACACAGGCCATGACAGTGAGCTTTTGAAGATCAGTTAATATAAATTTACAAAAATGAAAGTTTTCCTTATTCAAAGAGAAAAAAGAGTGAACAAATTAGAACAAGTGTCCAAAAACGTAAGACAATTTCAAAAGGTATACAGATGCATCATGGAAATGCCACAAGGAAAAGAATGAAAAAAAAAAAAAGGAAAAAAATTATTTAAAGTAATAGTTCAAAAAAATTCCAAAATTAATGAAAGACACAAAACTGCAGATCCAAGGAGTTCAGAGTATATCATTCAAGGTAAACACCATCCTTCTCCTCCCAAAAGAACAAACAAGCAAAATCCTCAAACATCTCCTTGTATCAGATGCAATCTGCAAAAATACAAAGATAAAACAGAAATTTTTGAAAAAAATAAAGTCCAAAAGGAAAAACACTTTATGTAGAGTGGAGTAAGGATAAGAATTACAGCAGATTTCTAGTCAGAAATGATGCAAGAAAGGGGAGAAATATTTAGTGTTGAAAGTATGAAAGCAATATATAGCATTGGAGTAAAATATCTAGTGTTAAAAGAAAATGCCAATCTAGAATTCTGTGACTTTCCTAGACAGACAAAAACAGAGAGAATTAATTGCTAGCAGATGTGCTGAGCAAGAAATGTTAAAAATTCTTTGGGGAGAAGGAAATTTATGTGTCAGAAACTCTGATCTATAAAGGAAGAGTATTGAAGAAGGAATACATGAAGGTAAAATATAATCTTTTTTTTTCCTTTTCCTTAGTGGTTCTAAAAGAAAACTGATCAATAATACTAATATGATTTTGATGATCATAGCATGCATAAAGGAAATAAACAACTAAAACTGTGATAAACTGTGGGAGGGAAGAATTGGAACTGTCTCTTAGAAGGGCACTTACCTTGCACATAAAACAACTCAGTAGCCCCTCTTGTCTGAGGAGGATTCATTGTAGGATTCCCCCACCCCTCACCCCCGCCACAAAACACTTGGAACTACAGATTCTACTGAACCCTCTCTATACCATGTTTTTCTATATGTACAAAGTTAATGACTTTTCCACCTTCACTAAACACTCACCACACATGGTGACCATACTTGGGCAGTTTGAGGTGCGACCACAAAACTAGCATGAGTTTCTTTTTCCTTCTTCACAACTTTCTGAAGAGAAGATGTGTTCTTATTCCACAGTAAGAACAAACCTCTCTATATGGGTTTGTTTTCTTCCTTATTAAGCCAGGAAGTTTTGCCTTTTCATTTAAAGAAGCTCTCTGTGGCTCCCTTTGGCTTGTACAAAGTGCCTACACCACCACTCTGTGTCCTAGAGCCCTTGTTATATAAAACACGACTTCCTTGGACACAGGAACCCAGACACTGTGACATGGCCCTGACAGTCGAGCTGGGGAAGGGCTGAAGGGCTGGGTAGAACATTCAGCTTGATGAGCTAGCCACGGAGATGACACATGTCCTCAGCTGGACAGAGAGGGACCGCATGAGCTGCCATCCCACCGCTCAGAGTGACATGGTCTAAAACACAGACTAGTTTATTTCCGGAATTTTCCATTCAGTATTCTTCAGACCACTGTTGAAATCAACACTGAGGATGAGGCAGGACTACTCTCTAGTGGAATTGCAAAGTAGACTTAGATGACATCAAAATGCCTGCTGTGAGCTGTAGGAATATGCTAAATAAAAGTTTTAAAGTGTGATTGAAATGTTAAGGAGGAGATAAAATGAAATCACATAAATACTCACTTAAAACCAGAGAAGGCAAAGGAGAAAAAAGAAGCAAAAAGTAAATAAGAAAGGTTACAAGAATGATAGATTCTGATCCAACTTCATAAACAGAACACTTTCATATTTTTAATGTTTTTATTAGTTCATTATTGTTATAAATAATATTAGGATTAATTTTGACATAATCATACATGCAAGAAATATAATTTGCTCTACTTCAATCCCAGTGCTTCCTCTTTCCCCTCCTTCCCCTCCTTCCTCTACTCTTCTGGCCTTACATTTATTGCTTTTTAATTAGTGCTTATAGATTTGCATAATGATGAAGTTCACGGTGGCATATTCACATATGTACATTTCATAATTTGGCCAGTTTCACTCCTCAGTTGCTCTCCTCACCTACCCTTCGGCCCCCTCAACCCCCCTCTCCTACTCCCTTGTTTTACCTTCTGTTTTCATTGGATTCCTCCCTGTTTTTTGCTTCTTATTATTTTTCTCTAGCTTCTGCATATGGGAGAAAACATTTGACCCTAGACTTTCTCAGTCTGGCTTATTTCACTGAGCACGATGTTCTCTAGTTCTAACCATTTGTCAGCAAATGCCCTAATTCCATTCCTCTTTAGGGGTGAGTTTAGCTCCCTGGTGTGCATAGACCACATTTTCAGTTGTCTGTTGACAAGGATCTGGGCTGCTGGTTCCATAACTTGGCTATTGTGAATTGTTTTGCTATAGACATTGAAAACATGAACTGTTTAAAAACATCATCAAAGAAAGATTGCTAGAATGAATGAAGAAGGGAGAGAGAGAGAGAGAGAGAGAGAGAGAGAGAGAGAGAGAGAGAGAGACCCAACTACATGATAGATTGTCTAAAAGAAGCCAATTTCTTGGACATTTATTTGCTTTGGGAGACCTTGACAGTTTAGAAGTTGAGAAGTCCTGGTCAGCTATTTGCAAAATGCTCCTCAGTTTAGATTTGTCTAATGTTTTTCTCCTGATGAAACTGGGGTTAGAGATTTGAAAGTTCAAAGACGTAAAGTGCCACCACAGCACCTTGAAGGTGCAAAACATCAACACGATCATCACTGTCCCTGCTAACTTGCGTTTCCTGGCTGATTGCAGTGATTCCCGCGAGCAGCCGGGGCTGAGTGGGCCAGCCACTTGCATCCTGCTCCTCAAGTCCCTCACTTTTGATTTTCCCAATGCCTCATCCAAAGACCAGCTCAGAGTCTGAATTATCAGAGAGTTTTGCTTCCTGCACTCAGGGTCAGTCGGCCTCATGGATGTCTGACCTGTGCCGACTCAGGACTCTTGTTTGATGCCCCGTGCTTGGTCTGGATGTGGTGCTGTCACCTTCTTGAAATTCTTAATGATTTCTGAAGAAGGAACTCTTGGGATTATAGAGCTAATCCTGAATGCCATAGCCTGGAAGTGTCTCCAATCTTTGAGCATGAAGGCTATTCATTTGCTGTTGCGTATGCTTTCCTATGTCTCCTCTTACCTTTTTAGGTCCATAGTTCCCCTTCTAAATGAATTATAGAACTTTTATAAAATTCTTATTCAACATTGTAAACCATCAGCCACCAGCTGAGAGCTCAGATATAGTAGATTCTCAGCGAATATTTTTTGACCATTGTACAGCACAGCTAATATTTCACTTATTGAAAATATTGCCATTAAGTCATTCAAAATAATAAGCCCTGTAAATGAAGGGCCAAAATTGATAACCCCGATGCAGCATTAAAAAACTGAGCTTCTTCAAGGAAAGATGACCCAGATAACTGATCATCATGAATCCAACTGGGGAATCTGCAAAAGAAGAAAACATCACACTGAATAAGTGGCAGCCAGGAACTTTTAACACATTCATTGAGCAAAGAAGTCAATGCCTTTGGACTATATCCTGTCCTGGTCCCCCTCTCTCTGTCCCTTAACTTTCCTGTGCCATGCCCACCACCATGATGTTCTGCGACACCCCAGGCTCAGAGCCATGGAGTCAGCCAGTGTGAACTGAGACCTCTGGAACTAAGAGCCCAAATAAACTTTCCCTCCTCTAAGTTGTTTTTGTCAGATATTTTGCCTACAATACCCCCAGTTTTGCCCAAATTCCACTCCCTGTCTGTCTGCTGTGTTGCTCTGTGGTTTTCCCCAAAGAGATGTGGAGAAATCAGATGACTGACGGGTCACACCTTTAAGTGATATCGGTCAGATCTCACCATTTATGGCAACATGTAAGCTGATTTGTCGTTCTCATGATTATGAGATTCAGTGGATCTGGGGGAGGATGTGGGAATCTGTATTTTAACAAGTGATTCAAATACTTTTCATGATCAGAAAAACCTGGGCTTTGGTGGGAGAACATTTCCTGCTAGAACAGAATGCACCTTCTCTCTTTCTAAGAGGTCATCGGGCAGGGGTAGGTTTCTCAGATGCCCAAGCCTTCCCGCACTCTATAGCCTTTCTACTGGCACAGTGGCAGGCCTCAGCATTTTCAGTGATTAATGGCACATGATTGGCTTGATGTCATCCACACTGCTATCCTGGGCTGGCCTGCTGGAAGTCCCCAGTAGTTCCTGTTGGCCCCTGGTGCTGTCCGATTCCTTCAGACACCATCAGATACAGCATGGTCTCAAAATGGCTGGACTTTTGCCTGGGGCCCCCCCATGTGGGTTGAAAAGCCAGCCCGGTCCCCACACTGCCTCTCCCACTTGACTCTCAACATAAATTTATATGCCCTGGGTCCCAAAATTTATCACATGTAGCTTGAAGTACATTTGTATCAATTGTGTATTTATTTTTTCATTGCACACTTATAATATTTCATTTCTACCACCTGGCCTTTGGATAGACCCATCTGAGGACTTGGCCAACATTTCTTACCTTGTTTCCAAAGAAGAATTTATCTGAGTTGCCACCGATCTCCACAGTAAGTGTTGAAACTCAGCCCCTGTAAGTTAGGGGCGCTGGGTGCTCACCGATTCCAAACCACAGAGAGGAAAGGCAGTGAGGAGGCCAGGACGGCCCACCTTCAGTCCTGCGCCTCTGGGTCCACTTACTTGAGTTCTGTGGTTCGAAAACAGAGCAGGAAACAGAGCCCCTTCAAGGACACTTTGAGGCAGTCTGGGAAGTGCCACAAACTATCATTAACCAGGTGCTCGTGCCCCTCAATCAGCCATAGGGTAGCTCCGTCCCCATAAAAACATCACGCTGATCAGGCAGCAAGAACAGAGACTCAGGGGTGGCTGGGAGGGGCAGCAGCTCTTATCCAAACGGCTGACAATACCCCAATCAGTGCCAGGGGCAGCAGGTCATGGGCAATCTTTTCCGAAACCGCTCCTTATGGAGGAAGAAATAACTTCGGCATCTCCCTGGCTCCTCTGTTAAGAGCTGACTTATGTGCTGTGATTTAAAAAAAAAAAAAATAAAAATAATAAAAGGATAATTTAGGATCCACTGTCCCTTTTGTAGCTATGCAAGTTATAAATTATAGTGTTACAAAATGTAACCGTTTTAGTTCCCAGTGGGCCCTGTTCTTTGTGTGTATATTTATCCAATTGTCTGATTCACTTAAGTTTGTAACTACAGGGTCTTGCTCTGGGTTTACAAAATGAATAGCTCTAAAAAGTCAAAGCAGCAATCAATTCTTTAAAACCCAGATTTGCCCTGCTCGGAGTCATATAAGGATAGCTTCCTGATTATCCAAAACAGCACTGACCTAGAGACAAAGGAGCCCCGCGACCCCCTACAGCAACCTGGACTGTGATTTTTCTCTCTACTTTGAATAGCGCTCCATCAGTGAAGAACTACTCTGGGTGATATTGATCTCCTGGGCCTTGTTCAAAAGTGAGATGACAGGTCTATTTTGGATGATAAGTAGATAAGGATTATAAATTCACCTTGAAAATAAATAAAAATAGCTCATCTCACCCTTTTATTTATGTCTCTCTTAGAAGAGGAAGTTAACCTACTCTATAGAAAACAATCTTCTTCCCAGGCTTGAGGATACTTTGCAAACCTCAAAACCAGCTTTTATTGGGTTTGAGTAATTTTTAAGCCACTAAAAGAATTAAAGATCTAATTTTTTCCCCCTTACAATCTGCCTCAGTCCGGGCTAAGAATCATTACTGCAAATTTTTGAAAGACAAGCCCAAGTGAGCTTCCTAACTAGGGCCCAACCTGATATTTACAAGGAAGCCTCCCCTCTCCACCCTGGCTGGCATCATCTAAATTCCCTAACACCTGGTACGTCCTACTTTTCACTTGTGAATTAGAAGCTACTAACATAAATTCAATCTAACATTTACAGTCTGCACATAAAGATTGCCTACAAATCTGGGCTGCAGTAGAGCAAGAATATTAGAAACTCAAATGAACTTGATCATCCCTGGGCCTCTGAAAATCACCAGCTAGCCAGGTTACTTGTTGACTTACATTGCCACACATTTATTGAGCATCTGCTATGTTCCAGGTACTTGCCAAGGTCTTGGAATTGCCTGAAAGCAGAACAGTTATGCTTCCTCGCTGCATATAAATAATACACCAGAGTGAGAGATAAGCCAGCAGGTCACTGTGGCTCTTTCTGGCATCTGCTTTGATAAGGGGGGATCAGGATATTCTAGAAGCAGAAAGAAAGCATGGTTAACTATGTTGGTCAAGGAAGAGCTCTTGAGCATGATGTGTTGTGGGAACTAGAATCAGTTCACCAGGTGTCAGGCACCCTAAACTCATCAGCATATGGCTCTAAAATATATGCTATTAAAAAACAAATGGAGGTGAAGGTTTTAAGGGGAAATCTTGGTTCTATTTGCAAGTTCTCATGAGTCTATAATTATTTCAAAATTAAAAGTTAAAAATAAATAATAACAAAAAGATGATACTGAGGGACTCCTTGGGACAGCCTGTTGTCCGTGTTTGACTCCAAGTGTGTAACACCTTCCCAGTCTCCTGGGGGCCCTGCTCAAGACAGTCTGGCAATTGGTTTCAAAATTCTTAATATTTTAAACAAGGGCCCTATATATTTATTTCATGCTGGGAGCCACAGATTATGTAGTTGTTCCTGCCATTTTCCATGGGGTTCTTGTTATTTAAGAAAGGGAGTTTGGATTAGGAGGTTTCAGAGCAGGAGATTTTGGGTAAGGGGGAGGATGGGCAGAAAGAACTCAGAAAAAGGATGAATTAGGTATCCGAAGGCCCTGCCGTTTCCATACTTGAGTTATGTCTAAGGCTGTCTTTCAATGCAACAATATTTTTTTAAAGACTAGAAAAAATTATATGACTTCATAATAATCAGTTGAGGCTTGTTTTTGTAATATCTATAATTCGCATGAAATGTTTTGTCGTAATTGGATGATTAATTCACCAATAGCAACTGTGTTTTCCCGTCCTGGTTGTGGCCACATACCTTTTCATATATTTTGTGTATCATGAGAGCTTACTGCAAATTGAGACATTTGCACTTAGAAATGGACGTGATGTTACATGAGAAGGAGATGAGGGGGTTGCAGAAAGATTCAAGGTTCAGGAAGGAGGACTGATGAGGGAGAACAGGTGAAAGGGAAGGAGGGCGAGGGATGGGTAGAGGGAGAAACAGTGGATAGCGGCAGCCTCTCAGTGGAGGCCACATTGACCAGAGACTGAATGAGGTGAGGGGGCGAGTCTAAGTCCCGAGAACAGAATCACAGAGAAGCCAGAACGCCTGGCACAGGGAAGCTATGAGAAGATGGCAAAGAATGAGGTCAGAGAGGTGTCATGAAGGACAGGGGGGATGACAGCTTATTCTAATTTGACGGGATTGTAGATATGCAACTTGAATTATTAGCTCTTAGAAACCCTCCAATATATCTGGTCCTAATTCCTGGAACCAATCAGTGGTACCTTCTAAGGAGAGAGGATACCTGCAGGTGGGATGAAGTCAGGGATCTTGAGATGGAGAGATTATCTAGAGTTGTCTGAGTGGACACTAAATGCCATCACAAGTGTCCCCTATAAGAGAGGCAGAAAGAGGTTCTTCACACACAGAAGAATCGGGTGTAATCGGACCACAGGACAGAGACTGGAATGATACTGTTTGTCAAGGAACCCCCAGAAACTGAAAGAGGAAACACATTCTCCTTGGTGCCTCTGGAGAAGGTGTCCACACCCTTGCTGCTGGCTCAATGGAATTGACTTTGGGCTTCTGGACCCTCGAACTACAAGATAAATTTCTGTCTTTTTAAAGCACCAAGTTAGTGGCAGTTTATTACAGCAGAATACAAAATGAGTACAGTAGCACATGGATGATGTTTAAGGACAGGCTAGATAAGGTTGCCAAGGGAACAAGTGTGGATAGCAAAGAGAAGATGCTGGAAGGTAAACTCTGGGTATCTCCAACATTTAGAAAAGGAAAGGCCAGGACTGATCTGAACTGATGAGTGACTTCCATGTGTGCAACACTGTGTATGTAGATTGAGAAAATATCCAAAAGAATTAATTTGCCAGAGCAGAGGTGATCATAAGTTTCTAACTTTTCTGCAAATTTGCAGTGTTTAGGAAACCTATAGACTTTTCACAAATTAAGAAAGAATATTTAATCAATTTATTGTATATCCCGAAGGGCATGTCACTCTAGCTAGCATCTGGGTGACACAAATGTGATAATTTTTTTGATTTCCTATGGTAAGATTGTGTACCTATGTATTCGATACAGAACATTCGTATCAAATTGGAGAAAAACCACAAGTCAAAGGATTAACTAAGACTTAATTACAGCCTATAGAATATATTTTAAAATAGTGGGTTTAAGTCACAATTTATTTTTATCCGTTGTTCAAAACATTACAATGCTCTTGACATATCATATTTCATACATTTGATTCAAGTGGGTTATGAACTCCCATTTTTGCCACGTTTACAGATTGCAGATTCACACTGGTTACACATCCACGTTTATACATACTGCCATACTAGTGTCTGTTGTATTTGAAGTGGGATCTGATAGCTCCATGTACATCATAATCTGATTGATGACTGAGCAGACAGAAATTTATTACAAATTTAATCTTCTCTGCAAAAATACAGGTTTTTGACTGAGGGGATGGACTGAGCCCATAAACGGGAATGACACATCATCATTTCTATGAATTTTGGTTAATATTTTCTCTATGCAAAGCAAAATTAAGTGATGAAATATGCAGTCCTTAAATGAAAGAATGTGCTCAAGAATGAAAATGCCATTAATAAAAACCCAGTGAATAGAAAGCTCCCAAATACAAGTCAAATTATTTAAGCTGAGTGATCAGGGGCTTGGGTGTGTCCACACGAACAGAAGTGGATTTCTTCTTGAAGGTAATATATCACTTAAGATGCAGGAAATGCACACAGGTTCATGGTATCAAAATAATCTCATCAAAGCAGAAACACTGCGGGAAATGGCTTTCTGGGTCCCTGTAACAATTTCAAATTATTATTTTCCTTTTACTTCTTTTCCTCCATCTCCACTCCTCTTTCTTTCTCCAAAAAGATCCTGTTAGCCCAGACAAATGAGGCAAGTCAATAACATCCACCCAAGTAGACAGGATATATTGAGCCAATTCAAAGGTGGGTGAGCAGCAGCTGTGGTCTTGCCTGTGAAATTAGCTCAGAGGTGGCTTCTGCACAGTGAAGCATCGGGACTCCTTCATTTACACCTCCCTGTCAACACGGAAACGGTGTAGACTTAGGTAAAAACCTGTTTGCCGGTGCTTTGACATCCAAGACTGTGTGTATATGTGTGCAAGAGGAAAGAAAAGAAGGGGAAAGGGAGAGAAATGATGCTTTTCAATCTCTTTTAAAGATTTTTAAAGCAGACAGCCATGAAACAGATTGACCTTTTATTACTTCTGAATTGAGGACAGCTTCCTCTCTTTAAAGCTTCAATTATATTGCATTTTTTTTTATGATTTTAGAAGATACCATGGTAACTTAGGCAATGAACCCAAACCAGGCTATTTAATGTACTGAACCATGTACCATAAACCTCTGCAGTTTTACCAATCTAAATCAGAAATGACTCAATTACAATGGTTTTAGCTGAATTTTTCAAATGCAATTAAAATATAAGGCTTGTAGGAAATATTAAATCTAACCAGAAGAAAAAAATAAAACAGGTATATGTAAGTATTATAGATATATAAGTTCATTTGACATTATTCTTTTAATATGTGAAGTAGAACTTTAGAGTTTTTATCACATGTTAAAAGTCACTTATAATTCTATGGGAAGTGTTCACATTTCAGGAAAGATTTAGTGTCTAAAAATTATACTGGCTTCTTGCTTGTGCAAAATTATTCCATGACATAGAAAAGTATTCATAATAAAATTGGAGTCAAAAGAGGTTATAACAACAGTAGATATTATAAAATATCAGGATTTCAAAGTTACTT